ATTATTATTATTATTATTATTATTACTATCATCATTATTATTATTATTATTATCATTATTATTATTATTATTATTACTATTTTATTATTATTATTATTATCATCATCATCATCGTTATTATTATTTGTATCATTATTTTCACTATTGTTAATTATTGCATAATTAATTCACCAACTATCTTCGTTGAAGAATTTTCAAGGCAATTGATCATCATCATGATCCTTTCTTTGGGACTAATTTTTCGGTCTATGATTATATTGATTCCTGGATTTACCAACGAGGATTTCCATTATTGAAGGTCTCTTACTAACTGCTCTTACTGTCTTACTAAAAAATTCGGAAGTAATAAAAGAAATAAGGGTGAATGTTTTTCTTATTACTTCCGAATTTTTTTTTGTATTATAATCAATTTGTTATTAGTGCATAGAAATAGAAATAATTTATGAATAAATAATGAAAAAAATAAGATAGCAAAAGAAAGTTCAATTTCTTTAGTGGTAGTGAAGTTTTCAACTGCTTCATATCATAGCAGTGATAAATGATTTTTTCATTAATTTTATTGCAATTATCACAGTAAGTCATAAAACATGCACATTCATTTTAGTTAGGAATGATTAAAAATTTATCATTATATATTTAATTACCATTTCTATGTGACAATTTGGTGAATAGAAAAAGTTGTCGTTTTTAAAATAGAATACCGTATTAATGTATGTTGTTAGGTTCAACAAGTTGGTGATTATATTGAAATCAGTCAACAAATATTTGATTTTGATAATAATAGTGAATTTGCTAATACGCAATGGAAAGTGCCGATATTTACACGGGGAAATGAGCAGGATGAAGTTCACTGGTTAGAAGAGGGTAAAAAATGTAAGTCTCTTCTATATTCAGTCTCGTATCTGTCATCCTGACAAAACGTAGGAGTCGTTAATATTGTCACATGCACAATACGTATGTCGTACCTTCATCTATCATTCGGATAGACCAGAAAGCATGACTGCACTAGACAGATGATTGCATTTGGATGCTATTACATCGCTCTCTTAGAAGCAATAATTAGACAAATAAAATAACAAAAAATAAATGAGTCATTTTTTGATTTGATTACTTAATAAGTTTCAGTGAAGCTATTGCATGGATCACGTACATTTGTGCTAGATCCGAACTTTCATGGTTATTATCGCATCCAATATGAACTTGAGTACTGGAAGCTTCTCATTGATCATTTACTATACAGGCATAATTATTTTTCTGTTTCAACGCGACTTAAATTGCTCGGTAGCTTATTTGTCATTTCATTCATTTCACTTAATTTAAAAAAAGTTGAATTTACCTTCCTTCATGGAATGCAATCATTCTAAATCTCTCAAAACTCCCACCTGATGATCTGACTGTAGTATACCAGACCAAAATATGCCTTTTTAGTGTTTGGAATAAAATTATTTATTTGCTTTGATTTTTAAAAAATCAAAATTTTCAGATGATGCATTTGTGTTAGCTGAAACTGGACGCATCCCGTATGCCATACCAATGAAAATGTCGCTATATCTTAGAAATGAGACAAAAGTTGTACCATTTATTACCTTTCTGACTCGATTCGAAACTATCCTATATCGTGTGCATCGTCATTCAAGTGCATCACTTTTCAATGTAAATCTTACTTTTCAAAAGAAAAAATTTTTTTACCTAATTGAGATCATAATTTTAGAGAATTGGATTTTGTTCTGTTACAACTGATTGTTGTTATTTTTGAATTGTCTGATGGATGGATGACACTCGAACTGCTGCAACCTTGGTTGTGAAATTCAAGTTGTCACTCGTCGACCACTTTCAGACCATTCTCGAAAGTTGGGATAGATGAGATGCAGCGTGTTGGAACCCTTTGATTTGGCCGTAATTATTCGAAATTGCAGAAATACATGCAGTTTCTTATGGAGCCATCGTTTGATCGAATCATTAAGGCTGAAACTGACTCAAATGTTCCACGCAATATGGAATTTGAGTAAGTATTTTACTTTATGGATAAATCATCTTCAAACATGTAACGTTACTTCATCTTTTTGTTAGATTTATGTTTTGAAGTACACGAATAATGGGCCATAAGTTAAGAACAAAAAAATGGATGGAAGAGAGTGCAATGTGGTCTCTGTTTTCCTAAATCTCTGCAGCTCTTTTTTTTATTAAGATTTATAAGAGAGCTGATATACTTAAAAATGTGTGCCAGTGGACATCAACAATGTATCCGGATATTCCGATCACGTTTAAAGGAACTTTACAAAAACTGCTCACAGGAAATACTTAGCAATCCTTGCAACAGGTAAAATGAAATTCAGAATTGTTGTTTGTTTTTTCAGCCGCAAAAAAATGAATAATTGAACTTAACGATTAACGAATGATTGAACTTTTCATTTAGCGTAATCTTTAACGAATAATTGAATTTATCATTTAGCGTAATCTCAAAGTCACGTAATTTTTCTTTGTAGATTTCATTCTTTCTTTTCAATCTCTTCCCTGTCTTTGTGAGGTACAGTTAAATTTAACTCCGAACGGAAGTCCAATCGTTGAATGCATTACTTGCTAAGAAGTAATAGCCAACACAGCATTTCACCTGATGCAAATAGAATAACATTGTGAGATAAGTCAAATTTTTTATCACGATATTTGGGAACACTGAAAATGGAAAGATAAAAGGTTGTTATCAGGGCGAAAGTATAACTAGTACTCGAATAGTTTCTTTCCTGAATTTGTTAAAGCACAGAAAAAAAATGACTTGTTAAATATTTGTGTGAGTCGGCTCACCGAATCCAATCCATTTATCTTCCTCATCAAGAATCTTTTCAATCTACTATTTAATTCTATTGTCTGATGACTTACTGATACGGAATCATAGTATGGAACAAAACAACAATAATAATATTCATCCTAACATAACAGCGAAACTTATTTAATAAAGTAATTGAATAAGTTTCTCCATGGTTAGATCACATTGAATTGCGTTTATTCATTATTTGTTTCAGCAAAAAGTTCAATAATTTGATGATATGTTTAAGCTTAGAAGCAAGCCTACGTAATATTGCCTATATGGTAGCATCCAAATATGGCAATCAAGCAGAACTGACATTTATGATCAACAAGTTTCATACAGAAGAATATCACGTTGAACGTGATAGGATTTTTTCCGCACTTGCCAGCAGCTCTAATCGTTCTTATATTGAAGTGTAAGTGAATGTCATATTTAATTTTGCTATTTAATTTATTAGTTAAAGGATAATCTGGATAGTTAAATAAAAACCTAATCAAAACAGTTAAACAAAAACTCAATTTTAAATGTTAAGTTTGATTAGAATTCAATTCTTCGATTTATTAGAAGTGAGACAGTTTTCGTTTCAAAAATAATACTTGTAGATTTGAAACTCCTTTGAGGTCTCTTCTGAATTTCTTTATTTCTTTTTGTTTTTCAGGTTGGTAAAAGAAGTATTAATCAAAAAAGAGAAAGATACTGACTTTCGACCTAAATTATACGAACTCTCAAGGTTTATCAGACACAATTGACGAGAATGTTGCATGCTTTCCATTTCTTTTTATTTGGAAAATTGTTCGATGATTAATTAATTTGGCTCAATCTTTTCCTATCCATAATTTTTGACTTATTATCGAACTAACTATCTAGAAGGGAAAGAAAAACAAAACTTTTCTTTTTAGGAAAAATTACGATAATGGTGCGGTTGAACAATATTTATTCAATAATTTTGCTGAACTTCTCAAGAGGTTAATTTTTCTTTTGCATTACTCGAAATTTAATCTTTTGTTCCACTTTGATTAACGCTTTACTTCATGCTGGCAATGATTAAAATTAAACTTTATAAGTTTTTTGCAGACACGAAAAGTATGGACCCTTCTTCATGCTTCAAATGGCAAGAGGGTATGGGACGAACGAAGACTTGCAAAAGGTTAGTGAATTATGGTTATATAAAACAAGTCAAAGAAAAAAGATCTTGGAATGCATACTTCTAATAAATATTACTGTATAATTCCTTCATTCATTTCTTTTTTTGGAAATATTTAAATGCTATAATTATGATCATCAAAATATTTCAAATTTTCGTAGCATCATTCTTGATGGCATTTTCATATTTATCATCAACTTAATGATATATCACAATTAAAGACAAATAATGCATAAAATATATCAATTGTAGGTTAAATTTCGCTAAAATAAGTTTAAAAACTTGTTATTCCCCCAATTCAACACTACAAATTAGCGGAAAAAAACTTCATTTTTTAGCTCGATATGTTCGAGAA